CACATACACACAATGTACATGGCATGCACATACACACACAGAGATACACACACATACACATACAGACACACACACACATATACAGTACATATAGACACACACACAATGTACATACACACACAGGCACACAAAAACACACACACAATGTACATACACACACAGCATATTTTAGGACACACACACACACATAAACCCTTACAGACACAGAGAGAGAGCACACACAAATACACACACACACAGAATATTCTAGAACATATACATACAAATAAACACACATAGAGATATAACATTAAATGCACACACACAGAATATTTTAGAACACAGGCACACACACACATAATGTACATGCACATACACACAGAGAGACACACATACCAACACACAGCATATTTTAGGACGCATGCACACACACATGAACACACACACTGACACACATACACACAGCATGATCTAGGACACACACACACACATTGTACACAGACACATATATTTAGAGACACACATACGTATATACACACATAATATACATTACACACAGAGACATACCACAGGCAGACACACACGCATAATGGACATACACAGATATACACACACAAGCACACATGCACATATACACAGCATAATTTAGGTCACACATTTACACACACACACACACACACAAAATTATTTATAAATTATTTTATTTTCAACAATATTTTGTGAAGCATAAGGTGTGTGTTACTCTTGAAGAGCTGCTCTTTGTTTGGTTGTGTGTTTGGTCTCTGCGTGTGCGTATTTCCAGTGTTAACGAGCTGTTGTTAATGACAGAAATGAATAGACGCAGGCATGTTCGTGCTCAGGCATTTGATTGGGCGAACGCTGCTGTCGACAGGTCCTGAAACTCTGCTCAATGTCTCACTGACGCCACTGTTTATTTATTCACTTTCACCAGCGCGCACGCGTGTGTGTGTGTACATATGTGTCTGTGTGTGTGTGTGTGTGTATGCTGTAATGAATTATAATCCATTCACACCTCACATTTTTGTTCTTAAAGGTATCGTTCACCCTAACATGATCATGCTATCATCGTATTATATTACATTATTAGTGAATTACTATAAATATTATAATTAGTAATTAATGATAATGCCGGTATAGTGATTAATATGATTAATTATTAATTACTACGCTGTTATTTGTGTAATAAAATGTTGGCAGACAGTCAAAACTAAATCATTTTGTGTACATATTTACATTTTATTAAAGAAAACATTGGCTCATTGTGAAAATGTAGCCCCGTGTACATTTCTGGAGAGCGCAAACTATGTAGCCAGAAGTATGTATGGCTGCGTTTCGTCTTTAAAATGAATGCTATGGAGTGGTATGACACTGTTCCTTTGTGCGCTACGAGTTGAGCGCTTACCTCCACATGGACAGTGTTTCCACTGTTACCAGTTTGTCCAGTAGCTCGCCGCCTACGTCGGAGGATTCGAGACGAAGAGAGGAGTTGACCACGATGAGTCTGGAGTCTGGCGAAGAACAGTTCCAGAAAGCAGATAAGACAACAACAGAACCCAAAAAGTAAATAACAGGGTGAGAACGTGGTAAAATCTGAAAACGTGGTAAAAAATCAGGCGAGGGCTTTTCTTATTCTGCATGGATTGCTTTTAAAAACCCTGTAAGTTGGGTTTAGGGAAGGAGGTGGGAGGGTCAATCTGCTTTTGAAAACACTATCGGTTGGGTGAGAGGTCGGTTGGCGATTTGGTCGGTCGGTCGGTCAGTCAACAGCGTCCTCTGGTAAATTTACATGAGCATAGGAGGCGCGAATGACACTCGCGACAGAAATTTGCAAAACGGGTTCATTTTGAAAACGTAGTCCCGTGGACGTTTCTGGAGAACGCGAATTAATGTAGCCGGAGGAACGTATGGCTGCATTTAATTTTTTTTTCAAGTGAACGCTACGGAGCGGTATGACGTTGTTCTTTTTCGCTCTTACCAGCTGATGCTTACCTCCGTGTAGAGGGCTTTCCCGCCGCAACCAGTTTGTCCAGTTAGCTCATGGTGTACGTCGGCAGACTTGAGACGCAATATAAAAATAAAAATAAAACGAACAAGTGAATAACAGGGTGAGAATGTGGTAAAATCCGAAAATGTGGTAAAAATCAGACGAGGGCTTTTCTTTTTCTGGACTGCTTTTGTAAAGCGGCTCTGTTTACGGAAGTAAGCGGGTCAATCGCTAAATTTTATTGGGTTTAGGGAACAGGGCTGATAGTGAAAAAAATTCCTGAGCCTGAACTTTTTTTCCTTGCCCCTGAGGTGAGTAGGGGTGGGGGTACTATGTATGCAACGCACTTTTAACACATAACTCGTGGGCCCCTGGGCCCAAATATATTAACAGCCTATGTGTAACCCTGATCATCATTATTGTCAAGTGGCTCTTTTTAGACACATGCCAGTAATGTCAGTGACACATGCCAGTGTCAGTGATCTTGTGACATGTGCCAGTAGGTGTCAGTATAAGCACGTTATAAGCACATTAATCTTATAAGTCTCTTTGCTTTAATATTTAAAAATCATTAGGCAAATGACACCTGTTATCTTACATGCATATATGTTATGAGTTTTCAACATGCATTTTATTATAACTTTTTAAAGGATATTATTTAAAATACCTTAAAATGAAAATAAGTTAAATAATAAAATAAATGAATGAATTAAAAACATAGAGAAGTCCATATTGTAGGGATCAAAGGAACTGCCAGGATGCAATAATATACAGTACAACAGATAAGTGTAACCCCTCCCATACATAAGCATGCCACAATAAATTTGACTGACATGTACTGTCAAATGACTATATTACGTAGGAAGTATGACTACGAATACATAAAATAAATGCGTTTAAATTAAAACATCGTGGAGTAGCTCAGCAAATAAACTAACTTGCGACGCGATAAATTAGGTTAAAAGTCGCGTAATGATTAAATATGGTTTT